ACAAAAAAGTTTAAAGTTTTAGGATGTCTGCTATAAAAAATTAAAATAAAAAATTAGCTGTTATTTTCTCTTTAGTGACACCTAGAGGTCAGGAGGTGAACTGCAGTGACACTGACGTAAACAGCAACAAACACTGAAAATGTGCTTAAACTGTCTAATATTCTAGAAAGTAGAAATTAGCTACAATTAATTTTAAAAAGTAATAAACTCTGCTGTTCACGAGGTTAAAAGAGATCCACGATTAGTTGTAACATTAGACTGTTTTTGATAAACGTATATTTTCAGCCTGTAACTGAAAATATGGATGGAGGACAACAGAGCTGCTTCATGGAAGAAGAACCTCAGCTTAGCCTGTTAGCTTTAGCACCAACACTATATTGCCTTATATGTATTAGCTTGGTGCTAGCGCAACAAACTAACAGGCTAAACTGAGGTCCTCCATCCATATTTTCAGTTGCAGCTGAGTCATTTTTGTGTTCCCCTCTCTGTCATGTGGATGGAGGACCTCAGTGATGAGAGGAGAATGTGTAGCGCTGAGCTAATACATGTAAGGCAATATAGCGTCRGGGCTAAAGCTAAAGCTAACAGGCTAAGCTGAGGTTCTTCTTCCATGAAGCAGCTCTGTTGTCCTCCATCCATATTTTCAGTTMCAGGCTGAGTCATTTCTACCTTCTCCTCTCTGTCAACGCTCTCTGGTTTCATTTAAAAGAGTCGATCATCAGATATTGTCCAAGATTAACCTTCAGGGTGGATATAGCTCGCTAGCAGCATCGCACCAAAGACCTATCCACGTCATCATTTACCCAGAATGCTTTGTGTGTAAATAAAATGGCTCAATCTGTGTAATGTATTTTTAAACTTTTAGTTTAAAAATTATAAAAACTCAATACCCTACAGTATTTTTACAGTCTTTATTTTACAGTTAAAATAAATGTTTATCAAATAAAGTCTAATGTTACAACTAATCCTGGATCCCTTTAACTAATAATTTTGCACTCGGCCTTTCTGCATAATTGTCTGATTTTGTGAAAATGTTGAGTTATTTTAAATCAAGACTTGTTTTGACAGTAAATTAGTCTTAATATCCGACACAGGTCCATTTCTTTGTTGTGCTGGATTAGAAGATATTGAATGTCACCATATTGTTTTTAAACGCTGAGTCATCCGTTTTACGGTACARTAAGTGATGAAACGATAAATAAACCAGACTTACAACACTACAAAGTACTGACTTTGTTCTGCTCGTGTTTCCTGTCTTGTTCTGGTAGTTTCACAATAAAACTAAATCTTCTGTATCCTAAATTTAAAATGAAACTTTCTCCAAGTCCTTCATATTTCCTGGTTGTAAAGCAACAAAACAAAGAATGTCTTGGTGGGGGTGGGGGGGGGGGGGTGAAAACTTATGCAACTCACCACAACAGTCTCAGTTTTATCTCGACTGTTTTTCCTCTGTATTATTGCTCTACAGAGAAACAACCAGTGCACCAGTTTAAAGTTGTATAAATRTCTGTAGGTGGTCTGTTTACGTTCAAAGAATGAAAATAACTCTGACAGTGATTCTGTCTGCAGACGGACAGAAACGCATCACTTCCTGTATGACAGGAAGGAGCCACCGACCCAAAGTGTTTGGAAAGAATTTCATTAAAAAGGATTTCCAGCCGCTGCTGCTTTTGTTATGTTTCCTATAAAAGGCTGAAATCACCATTGTGTGTGTGTGTGTGTGTGTGTGTGTGTGTGTGTGTGTGTGTGTGTGTGTGTGTGTGTGTGTGTGTCTGAAAATGTTTTGAGGACCCCACCACCCCCACGTTAGAAGCACCATGCGGAGTGTGTCGCAAAGAGGAAGGGAAGGGGGCGCTCAGCTCGCTCACTGGCATGCAAGAACAGTTTCCCTTTCAGGAAAGAAAAGAGGACACACACACACACACACACACACACACACACACACACACACAC